ATTACAAAGTTGGTTTTAATTTATATTTTTTAATGGAGTTGAATTCAGTTAATAATTTTATCTACAATGTATGTAAAACAATTAAATGAAAATTTTTTATTCATATTTCTTAACAATACTAAGGCGTTAGACGCCCAACTATAATTTTTTAATAATATGTTTAGTTCAGATCTTAATTTAAAATGTATATAAACATCGTGTTTACCATTTTGGGTATTCAAAACTCTTAAAATATTATTTTTTAACGTTATTGCATTTTCAAACTGTATTCGATTTTTTCACTTAACTTTATTATATTTTAAAATGTCATATTAATTTTATTTTATTTACCATTTATTGCAGTTTTTGAAAATGTTAGTATTYTTTAAAGTGCTAAAATACTTACCTACATCATTATCGTTATTCAACCTTTATTTTGTTTTAAGCAATTAATTTAAATTTATAAATTATGATAAATCGAATTTGGTGTATTGTGGCATTAATGTAATGAAACCACAAAACAATGAGTTTTACCTATTTTTTAATGGTATCATAAAATTAACATAAAATTTACTTTTATTTTATTTTTATTTAAATGTCTATTTAAATTGTATAATGAATCAAGCTAATTTATGTATTAACTACTCTGATAAAGAACAATAAGTGCCAAGTAGTCAATAATAAGTATAATATATATAATATATATAATGTTTAAGAATAGTTTCATATAACATTAATTAACTTCACATTATGTTATGTGATTAATTCATTTCTGAAATGTCAAACTTAAATAATGTAAGATATACTTTTTTCCTTGAATATAACATTAAACAAAGGGAATTTATGATGTTATTTTAAGATTTCAAAGTGTGTTAAAATGTTATCATTATTATTATAATTATTCGTATTATTTAGGAATTTTTCGTTTATTAAAAAGGGGGGTAGTAGGGAACCGGYTATGCTTTATAGTTTGGTTGAGTATACCTCATTGAGTAGGTACTGATAAGAATATTACATCTCTTAGGATGTATTGAATTAGAACTTAATGATAAATCATTGAGTTTGATGAAAAACAAATTTGTGTGAAGATGGTCTAATTTTTTGATAACCAAAAAAATTWAAAAAAAATTTTAATAATAATATAAAAACTTTACAAATATGTGTATAATCCCTCCTCTAATTATTCAAAAAGTTATTATAAATTTAAATATTTCTAGGGATATGATCATTTATGAAACTGTTAATATTATTATTTAATTRATTGTTTAGTGATTAAAATTTAATACATCCGTAATGGACTAAATGAAGAGGTATATTTAATAACTACTGTAAAGTATACAGCAGAACGGCGTTTTACTTGATAACTTATTTTATATTACAATATGATATGAATTATTCAATATGATATATATATTTTTTTTTAATTTAAAATTTTAGGTTTGAAAGATATAAACAAATTAACAATGGTATAAGTATGTTAAATGGTTTTACAAAATATTCATTTTGCAGACATTTTATTAATATTTATTATTATATTTGATAACAATGAAAATTTGTATTTAACTGTTAAGTAGTTAAAATTCATAAATTACATTTAAATAAGTATTTTTATAACACAATCTCGTATAGTACAATAATATTTTATTTTATTGGTACAACATCGACATCGTGGTTATTAGCTTACAATTGATTAGGTTACATATTATATGGATTTTTTACATGATCGTTAAGAGAAGCAAGAAAGAGAAAAGAACAAAAAAAAAAGAAGCAAAATAAATTACAAAAAATAATAAAGTCAAATTAGGTTGTATACATTTCAATTTTTTTTTTTAAAAGTGATGATTTTTTGTGAGTCARCATAGGGTCCTATGGCTTCATATAGATTGTCAGGTATTCCGAATTYTTCCTTGGCTTCCGTAAATATCTGGCAGTGGATGATAATGTGTTTGATCGTAAGGGGAATATTGCAAGAGATGCATAGGCATATCGGTGGTTCGGTCTTTTCCATTAGTTACCCATGAGTAACTCTTGTGTGGCCAATTCTAAGACGGTTCATAATAACATCTTCCTTTCGATTTGACTAGTTGAGCTTTGGCCAAGGTTCGACTGAATGTTTGAATTCCCTTAATTTGTTTTCGGTAACTTGAAGCCAATCAGAGCTCCATAATCGCATACAGTATTTGTCAACGTTCGTGATAATATCTWCTGGTGACATAAAATAAAGTGTTGGGGCGTTGGGGTTATTTATAGCATTTCGGGCTGCTTTGTCTGCTTCTTCGTTTCCTCTGATATTACAGTGACCCGGAGTCCATATGAAACGTATGYATTTATTCGATAGATGTATTAGGTTTTTTATCTTTTTCGCTAAGGGATTGGTCAGGGAATTATATTTTATGTTTGACATGGCACTGAGTGAGTCGGAACATATGTCGATTCTGTCCTGGTTTGCATTAACTGCTGTTTGGACTCCTTTTAAAAGAGCTATATATTCAGCTGTTTAAATGCTGTTATGACTATTTAATTGGAATACTTGAGTAGAACTTTGATATATAACAGCCAGACCTATACCTGTATAGTTTTGGATGCGTCTATATAGATTTGTGAATTATTGTGGTTACAATAATATTATAATCCAGTAGAATGTACTTTTTTATGATGCTTATAATTATTTAATTTGAGATATATACAGAGAGTATTATTTGAAGATGTTGTAACTACAATTTTATATTTTATGTGTTGTGATATTTTTATTTTTATTTTTTGTATTATTAATTTTAATTGAAAAATTACACGTAAAGTACTTCAATGATACTGATTCCGAGATACGGAAATAATTAGAACTAATGTCAAAATCCAGTAGGCATCTAGTTAATATTTAGTTTACTGTTTACTGTATAGAAATTTTTATGCAATAATTACAAGACAATCTTGTTATTGTATGTACAGAAAGTTTTTGTACTTAATATTATATATCACGTATATATAGTTTTACGATATTTTAACAAAAATGTGCTAAGGGAAAAAATACACTCTATACTAATGTTATAATGTTATAGTTATACTGTGTTTTAATTAAGTAATAAAATACAGACAAACAAAAATGTATTTAATTTATTATTTATATTCAATATTAATTGTAGATACATTGTTATAACTATTAACTTTGTATTGTCATCATGATCTGTACAAGAACGTCTGCTGCAAGAACTGTACAATTCACATACTGATTTTTTTAACTGTGTCTATATGTAATTCATAAGATTTRAAATTTGAAATTTTACCTGGAGACAACCTATACTGTATTATTAAAAGATATAATCAATAAAAATTATCGTACAAATTACATATAAATAAGTATAAGCGATCATGTTTTTACTGAAAAAAATGATTTAATGGAAATTCTCTTGTTTTATATTCTTTACTTTCATACTTACGAATATTATAACTGTTATTCATCACGCACTTTAATAAATTCACAATAAATTATTATTAAACTAAAATAACAAAATTATTACTTTGTATAAAATTATGAAACCACAGTGTTTTCAAGATATTATTCCATTTGTAAGGTAAACTTCTATCGATTATGAATATTTATTTATTTTATAGGTATTATAAAATTGATACTAAAAATGTTAGTCAATAATATTGTTATTTGTTCGTTAAGACTACACAGGTGATCCATTTAATGTAAGACACTTATTGTTTTAGAAAACCTTTAAATGTTTGAACATATTTCATTTTTATATAGCTTAAATCACTATACAGAAATATGTATTGAAAAAAATTATATTTTTATTGTCAACAAGTTTTAACTTTYTATTTTCAATGAAGAACTACATTTTTAATATTGTATTTCAAAGCAGAATACTATTAAAATTATTTACAAATACTAATGATCAAATTGTAGACAAGTTTTCTGTTAGGTATAAGAGATAGGTACTCAAAGTGTAGATAAGTGGAGTGTTGGGTCAACATTTTTCAGAGTAACTCTGTACCGCTCAACTTTAYTCATCTAAGTATTAAATATTTATGACTCAGAAATTACTCGTCCAAGAATCCGATTAGTATATATTAAGTGACTCTAAAAAATATTTTTCTTTGGAATAAGTTAAATAGTTATTGTCTTACATCAAATAGGTCATCCGATATTTTAATACATAAAAATATTTAGTTATCTACATATTATATAGAAAACTATTCAACTATAAAGTAAAACTTTTTTTTCTCCAAAAGGTAGATTTTGCACTTTGTTAAAGTCTCTAATGGTGCTATTGTCATTATTCTTACTGATTACTTAGACTGATTCGTTTAATCCTTTTTTCTCTCTCATTTGGCTTTAGTTATATTGTCAATGAGCCAAAGTGGGGTGGGCGCTATTAGTTCTTTACGTTTATTGACATATTTACTGCTATTCGGGGTGTTGATTGTAAAAGTGCTTTATCTTTAATTGTACTGGTAAATTGTTCTCAATTTATAATGGCGTCTAGAAAATGTTAAAATGTTCCAAAATGACGGAAAAAAACAAGTACCTGTAAAGTCATGGACGTGTATTTATGCATGCAAAATAATTTATTCACTAATATACCCAACTATATTAGCCACGCATGGCTCCGACATTTTATTCTGAATTATCGTGTTAGTTTTAGTCATTGAGTTATGAAGGTTAATTTTCACTTCACCATGCAGTTTCATGTATCGCAATTTAATAATATATACCTATGTCCTATAAGGTTTATATMATTTAGGAAACAAATCTTATAATTGAATTTGTCTTAGCAGTAATTTGAGAATAATATTTTATACGATTATTTTTTATGTAACTTCAGAAATAACGTATTGTGAGCTTTGCTAAACTAAAATTAAAATTATATATTGTTTACCTTTAAATGTCTGGTGTGGTCTACATAAAACCTTTTGTCACTACTATAACTTTTCGTTCCTATTGTTAAAATTGTATAGTCTATCCGTCTCATCCAGGACACCTGTAAGCAAACAAATACAAATACCATATAAAAATCTGTATAAAATGATTTGTCATATTTCATTTTATAAGTGAAATACAATTATATAATTTTTYATTATATTATTGTTCATAATTATGACTYTACAGTTATTATATTTCTGTATTCCTATACTATGTTCAAACATTTCATATTTGACAGTTGCTAATATACCACTATAGAATCGATTTAGTACTTGGAAGTGATTTTATATTATACAAAGTACTAACTCATCCATAACTAAAATATTTACTTATCGTAGGTAAAATATCAGACAAGCGTGGTAAGGTTTAATATTTGACACACGTAAAACTATGTACCTAACAGAATTACAGCGTGAATATTTTATAAACTATACTTGTACATTTTAGTTATTGTACGTTATTGACATGTGATGCAAATTTTTTGAAAACATAAAACAGAATTATGTTATTKAATTTACTTGATATATTACTGTTATTTTTAGTTTTGCGTATAGAATTGAAAAACTCTGTTATTTTCATCTAAATAACTTTTGATTTAATTTTTACTCATCATTTATATTGTTTTTATCATAATATTATTATTTTAATAATTTTAAGTAGTATCTAACAGTATTAGTAGTATTGTACTAGCGAGTTATTAAATAAGGAAAATAATACCTATAAAATTAAAAAAAAATTGAATTTAATACATTTAAGAAGAAGCACCAATTTTACCTACTACTTATAAAAAAAWTTAACAATTTTAGAGTTAAAATKAGTTGTACATATTCTCTAACAAAGTTCATAATATAAATACATGTAAGTAAAGAATAAATAAGTATCTACTGCCTTCAAAATAATGTGGAGTGACTGTTGAAAGAGTCTTTTGAAACAAAATCTTATCTTATATACTTTTTTAAATAATTTAAAAAATATATATTTATTTATTCAAAGTTCCAGTAAATATCATCAAATAAAAATTGTACAAAATATGTTTTTAGAAGSTTATATAACGTTTACAGTTATATACTTGTACTTTAAAAGTATTGTTTTTTTTTTATCAACATATTATAAACTATAATTAGTAGCATAAGTAAATTCTATAGAAATACTTTTTTGAAGTGATAATTTAGATTACCGTGCGAATTTGTTTGGTTGTAACATAATCATTGTGAACTTTTGATGACGGATTTCTCAGTAGAAGCAATTGAGATAAAATAAAATTATCTTACATAATATAATATAAGCAGATGATGAATATTGAGATTCATCATTCATTTAGAAACATAACAAGACGACAGAAAGTAGTTGCTTGCGGTTTTGTGGTTATGCGTATATGTGTTATTATTAAGATACAYGAGAGCGGCAGTCAAGTTTTAAGAGTCCATTCGTATACGGTTTTTGGCAACCGTTTACACATCATATACCGAAACAAACACGAGCTTAATTTTAGGTCAACATTTGTTTTTTCTCTCCCCCTCGGCGTATGTACAGTCTATACGTGTTTTTGAACAGTATGCAAATTTAATAGCAGTTACATAACATGCCCGGGGAGGGAATTTATAAATGTGCGCGCACACACATACACACACATAAACTCACTCGTTCTAGTTCATAATATATACAAGATATAGAGAATTACAGACAGAGAAATTCGTAAAGTAGAGATGGATAAATAGAAAGATAAAGATAGAACGAGGGTGGTGGTTGGATGGAGTTAACTAAAACGGTGGGAAATCAAAAACGTCTATCAGACTACCACATCCCCCCCCCTATTTGTATCTCCTTGAAGAGCTCACAAAACACACTACAAATGCGTACGTGAAGTCCGCGTGCTCAATCGGTATTTGGTCGAATTTGTTGATGTCGTCGTTGTCGCATTCGTTGTAGTTGGYGTTGTAGTTGTTGTTGTTATTCAGATTGTTATTGTTTCATCCCCTAACAACCATTTTTAATAGCCTTGAACTAGCTGGCCACACGTCTCCACAATTCACATCTGTCCGCTTGTCTCAAAATTCTACATCGTCACGCTTGCTAAATGGACGCCAAGAACTTTGTGGTATAAACAATAAGAAGCACGAAATTAAATCGGAGTTTCTAAACAGTAAAACCACCGAGTAATTAAGATATTATGTTTTTCGTTAATTCGATCTCATCCAATACGATCTCTGTTCGTTAGGTCACAGCTTATTGGATCTTTTTAAACTCCTATTTGTATACCATCATTGATCATTGTTTCTTAGTCTTATACAATTAACGTCATTAAAAACAGCGCAATTAAGWTTATTGTCTTAACTGTGACCGTTATAATTACATTTATACTCATACATTCAGAAATAACTACCTAGTAYATTCCACAGTTTCCACTAAGTATTTAATAAAATTACAGTTTAATGACACCTACAATAAAAAATAAAACGATATCATTCAAAGATCCAACTTGACTGTTTTGAAAATAATATTTAAACTGTACATAAAATAACTAAAAGTAAACAGTTGATTATTTTACCAATTTTTTAAACTTTTATATAAACGAAATATGATAAGAATAATATATTTTATTGTTATTATTTTTTAGTTAAACGAAATATAGTATTATATATTAAAATAAATGGCGTATGTAGGCTATTGAAAAATAAAACTTTTTTAATACTAATTTTCTCATTCTTTTTTAATTTTCACCTTACATATTCCAACTGTGACTTTGAATTTATATTATCGTTAAAATTACATTTTTCCTTTCTGTAACGTACCTTACTCATAATGACGTTTTATAAATGCTACCTTAAATTAAACTTAGTGAACCTTATATTACACCTCTGGAGAGGAAAAAAATAAGAACATTTTTTCCACTTGCTTGATACTTGGGATAACGTAATTTATTAAAAGCATTAACCAAATATACATCACGAACTCTTGGTTTCTTGCCATGGACTGAGTTTTCCATTTTCCAAGTACCTTGCGAGTACCTACTTTTTTGTTCGATCCATKAACAATAGAAGTGAAGATGAGGAATACAAGACATTTTGTAAGTTTATAGTCAGTCTGTTYTTATTTACTATGACATTATGTTAGGTACTTATGTGCAAAATCAATATTTACAATTATTTTATAAAATAATTCAAAACAATATGCTTGGAAAATATATTTTACGCCTCATTATAATAATAGTAGACAGGTTGGACATTAAATAATAATTAATTTATATCCAAAACCAGTCGCGACATCGCAGCCGTTCAGTGCACACGCATTTTACGGTAACTCTGTGCTGTGTAGAATATGTTACCAAATCCTAACGGATTCTTGTCATGTTTCCTTTTATCTATTCACATCGAATTGCAGTTACAAAAATGGTGACTGACTCGTAGCTGCTACCACTTTCAACCTCTTCCAGAKGATAGTAATTATTATTTTATATTATTTTACGCTACACATCTTTCAATATTTCACTCTTTTCTTCAACAAAATAAAATACAGTGCCAATTAAATCTTACACCTTTAAGTCACCTAAGACCTAAYCCCTTGAAATCTAATTAAATAGCTCAGTTAGCTCAATGGTAACTGACTCATGCACAAAGTCAGTTAAAAATGTTACACCAATCAACATTAAAAATAATCAAATTATATGTAGAAGCGATAAAAATTCAACATCAACCGATCCCAACAAAAGGTTAATACGCACTTTACCTACAATATCTAAATTGCAAAATGTTTCTACAAAAAAAAACCAACATTATTTAATAATCACTATAATGTACTCGACGACTTTGACGATAATAGTGAGAACAGCGACGTACACGAATCATCCAGTCAGAGACTCACGAATGCTACCGTACACACACCCATGAAGATAATATTGTCACCACCTATTTTTATTAAAGAAGTAAAAAGTTTCACAGATGTACTCATTGAACTTACAAACCAAATTGGACGCAACAGTTTTGTATGCAAATCGTCATCCACCCACCTAAAGATCCAAACTGAAAAACCTGAAGGCCACAGAACTCTAATCCATTACCTAAAGGTATACAATACATATATCAGCTCTAATTTGATAAACCATACATAGTTGTTATAAAGGACCTCCACTCAAATAGGTACAATAGTGTCTGAAATCTCATCAGAAATTGAGGTGATCGATTTCGCGACTAGACAAGTCAAAAACATTAGACACTATCTAACTTATATTTGTTTTTTTTTCGTTCTGGAGGTGTCCTAATTATTGTATATACTTAATATTTTTGTTTGTTTCATAATATCAAATAACGGATATATATATATAATATATATATATCTAATAACCTATATATTCCTACCTATGTATTAAAATACCATGTCATAAGAAAATATTTTTTGTACATACGAATTTCCAAAAAATATTCTATTTTTTTTTCTTGTATACTTTAAAAAAACGAATGTGACAAATTACAAGGAAGTGTATTCATTTGAAAGTAAAGTATAAGAAAATCACTCAATGTCCCGAATAGTCATTACCAAAGGCATGACTTTATTTCAAAGGAGACATAGTACAATTTTATTAGTACACGAGTATTTTATGTATATGCTGGTTTCCATGTAAATATATTAAAACATATGTACATGCAACTCTTTGATTTCCATTGAAAAAGTACATAATACCATCGTTACGATGCTCTGAAATAAAAAGATGCATATATAAGGCAGTTTTGACGAGGACATTTTTATTGATAAAATGAATAAAACAGATAWAGAGAATTTGACGTGTTATAAAAATATGAATATATAAAAAAAAACATAAAACAAAATTTTTGTGATAGGTTTAGGATTTTATATGAAAAGAACGAAAATAAAATGTTCAAAAGTTATACTAAAATCAGATATGAGAGGAGATGACTTGAAAAACGACTAACACGGTGATCGAGATTTAAAATGTTATATTCAACGTTCGGAAACGAGAAGGGGAGAATATAGGAAAAATATTATTTATTGATTTTTCAAGCAAACACTTTTAAATGTGCTTCTGGAAAAGAAAACGGTATC